ACGAGGGTGAGTCGGAAAATAAGTTTCCCCTGTCGACTGTGGTCAGAACTGAGTATGAAAGTCAAAGCATAGAATGAGACATTAAAGATAAGACATAGCTTTATTTCTCCACATAAGTACCAAGTACACTGAGACATTTGTCATACTGCTTGATAAGCTTCAAAAGACCCTGTAGGAAAACTCAGGACTTTGCATTGGAAAGAAGCGTTTATTTTTGCTTGAACTTTTTGGAGGCTGGAACCATTTATGCTACGTAGTACTGTGACACCCCGTCGAAATTGAAAGAGGCGATTCGGATAAAGTGACCGAGGCTTCTTAAAGCTGGCGTTCTGTTGTTGGATGACAATGCGAGACCATACTCGGCGACGGTAACGCAAAACCATATTGCAAATCTTGGTTGGGAGCATCTACACCATCCACCATACAGTCCTGATCTTGCTCCAAGTAACTTTCATCTGTTTCCGACTCTGAAGAAGAATCACGCCTGAAGGCGCTTTGGAAGCAATGCTGATGTCAATTAAACCGTTAAATGCTTCTTCCGAATTCAAAGCCCTGAGTTTTTCCTGGAGGCCTTTTTGAAGCTTATCAAGCGGTATGACAAATGTCTCAATGTACTTGGTATTTATGCGGAAAAATAAAGTTATGTCTTATCTTTAATGTCTCATTCTATGTTTTGACTTTCATGCACAACCCTGACCACAGTCGACAGGGGAAACTTATTTTCCGACTCACCCTCGTACATGCATTATTTTTCTTCACTAACAAGAAAGACCAAATGTACATTTAGTTTAGTCAAATAAGAAGCAATATTTCCAATGAAAAATACGCAGACTAATTTAGCATAGAATAAACTAATAATAAAATTTGTTCAGAATATAGTTATTTTTTAGAAATTCAACAACTTTATAGAAAAGGAAGGCTTATAGTTTTGAATTCAATCGTTTTCATCGAAGCATAGGAACTTGTATTTCTCAACAATATTCTCTTACATACTTTGTACAAGTTATAATTCATTTAACTATTGTAAATGTATAGGAAACCTTTTCTATACACATTTATATGAATTATTTCTATATAATTTCCAAACTGTTGAACTAATTATTCACCAATATTTAGACTATCATTAGACTGGTAACATTAATATATGATTTGTTTGCATTAAAATTATCATTTTTAGAGCGTAAATATCACACATAATACAAAATTTATTCTTTTTTTAAGAAAAATATTTTAATTAATAAAACTAAGCCGCCATAAAAGAGAATAGCGTACGTAGAAACTAATTAACTAACATTTAAAAAATATTAAGCAAATGATTTTTGTAAAGTATGCACATTTTACTTAAAAGTCGAATGATTATTTTTTTTCAATGCACTCTTTGTTTGTCTTGTATGATAAGATTTTTTAAAAAACATTTTAAGTTTGGGAAAAATCTAGTTCCATTTTTTAATTACCCATGAATGACAAAGATATGAACCTAAATTTAACAAAAGTTTTAAAATGCAGTAGAATGTTTCGTGCTTTTTATATAGTTGGGAAAATTAAATTGATTCAATTTTGCAACAAACAACTATAACAAGTTAAATCCTTTATATTTGCAACGGTTTAAAAAAACTTAAATAAACTTTTCGTACATTAAAATTTTTAACATAAAACTATAAGAAAAACAGAAATAGATAAATTTTTCTACTATTTCGGTTCGTAAATTAAGTTATGCAACAATTATTACTCAAACTTTCCCAGATAAATACTAAACATACCTTCTGAACAAATAGATTTTTTCATAGTTATTTATCTGTGTAACTCATTAATCTTTTTTCTTTCAAATTCAATCGAGTATTTATATTTCTGCTTCTCATTTTAAGCAAAAAGTATACCCCATAGATGTATATACATAAAAGTTTTCATGCATCCATTGTCTCAGAATGAAATGAAATTATCTAATGAATGAATATATGAAATATAACAAAACTATATGTTTTCTTGCGTTATTTTGTTGCAAGATGACATCTTCTTGGCCTTAAAGATAAAGCACAGCCACCCGTAGATCGCAGAATCATAACGTTGATTGTTCATATTATAGAAGACCGCAAACAAGAAATGTTCTTGTTGTGTACCCAGTAGCTGGCTATACCATCAGTTAGGTGCAGGGCCCGCATGATGCTATCAAATGCAAGCAAACGATATGCGTTCTCCTTTGTGCCTCCAGATGCGGATGCGTCCATCATGATGCTGCACGCAGAACCAAATTTCGTCCTGAAAAGAGGATGTGGGATCATCCTCCATTCTGGTCAGACGAAGTCGAACCAGATCAGCGAAACCGTTGACTTTAATGAAGTCCGATACTAGAAGTGGACTATCATGGATATCTTCCCAGCCCAGTCCAAATCAGTCCAAAATGTGCTGAGGTGAAGCCTGTTCCATCTGACATTTAGGGCAAATAGGAAACCTCTTATTGCCATCAGAAAAAGGGAGACTTTTTAAGTGCCCATTGGCGCGGCAGACAAGTGTTGGACTGTCTGTCACAAAGAAGACATAAAGAAAGCCCTGGTCTTTTGCCAACCATCCTCGATGCTTAAGAACTAGAAGCTTGCCTATGAGAAACATCCAAAATATCTGGATTTCCTTCCCGAAGTTTGTCGTTAGCCGCACCATTGCCACCGTGCCTTTTTGTAATGCTGTGTTATGGGAAGTCGTAATAATGGTCACCGTGCAGACAGTCCGTACTGCTACAAGCATCTTCGCTCTGTCGCTGCGGATGTTTGTAGTGCTGCAAGCCAACACACTTTATGACCGATCCGTGATTTGTCTACACGATCTTGCAAAGCCAACCTGGCAACCCGAGAAGTTCTCTTGATGACCTGTCAACATGAACATGTTCTCTCAGATGTTTGTGGTATGGGGGGGGGTAGTCGAGGTTCTGTATGGATTTCAGCGTGATCCTCCTGAACCTATTGGTTCCTATTCGCACGACCGTCGTTGGATTACCACCAATGCGAATAACAACATCGAGGAACAATATATCGCGCTCTAAGCAGGCCACGATACTGCCACTATCGGATTCAGACATGTGCAGAAGGCTTTGTCTGTTTCTTATCTGAGGCACAACGCAATTTTTTCACGACCAACATTTAAATGCAATTTCCGAACGAGAAGCTCTCTGCTTAGCTTTCCTTTTATATAGATTTTGAGGTGATGTTTCTCTCTCCTGCGTTGTTCAATTACACTTAAATGAGTATTCGAACATCTTCCGACCACGTAAATTTGACGTTGCATCATTTGTACTTTATGGTGTTGCAATTTTAACGACCTATATATAGTATTTCTAGTTATGTAAGTACAAGTATTATTGTTAAAGGAGAGAGATACAAGGCTTTTCTTTGTAAGAGATAAAATTTTAAATACTCAAAATATTAGTTTTAATTATATTTTCTTAGTTGTAGAATTTAGCTAAATTATATATATATATATATATACTCTATACGTAAACTACACTCAGTGGCTCAACAGCCCATGAGGGCCAAGATTTACTTTGCCCGTCTCAGTATACGTGACCATTGGGCGCTGAGGTGCATGAGCAGACGTCTCGATCAAGTGGTCAGCCTGAAGCGAAATCCCCCAGTGTTTAGTTCCCAAGCAAGCTTGGTTCTCATTTATCGACCCGCTGACGAGGTGGAAGGCTGAGTCGACCCTGCCCAGCCCGAAGATAGAGCCCCAACCTGTGGTGTGGAAGCGCGATACGCTACCACTCGACCACTGCGCCTTCGCCCTATATACATAATAGGATGAAATATTATTTGAATCAGTTGTGGTAAATATATTAAACTTCTTTCAAATTGCAATGTTAAATGATATTAGCAATCAAACAATAAAATGATTATTTATACTTTTAGAGAATCATATATACTAAAAATTCTTTAAAATGGCATTCACATTACGTTGAACTAAGCGTCGAAAATTTTCAAAACCTGCTAAACTAATTTTTAAGTAAAACATAGAGGCTGGGATAGGGATGTGAGCTGGGGGATTAAGGAAATTTTCCTTTCCCTTGCATGTAGCTTAAAACACTGTAACAGTTTTCTTAAGATTGCTTGAAAATGCAAGTAAAATTTCAACTGTTGTAATTTTAGGGTGCATTAGTTCACAAATGAAAGCACATTAATTTCTAGTAAACTGTATACATATACTTTGAACCCTTTCTAAGCCAACAGTTTTAGTTCAATATGACATGTTACTATTAAAAAAAATTTTAAAAAGAACTTTTTGATGAAATTTATGGCTGGTTAAAACATCGAACCTAAATATCAAACATGTTTATGTATTACAAGCTACCGAAAAGTTTCGAGGGCACGTTTCCTTTTTCTTCAACTAGAAATCTACAATTTAGGAAGACTACTATCGAGATTAAAAATCAAGTTTTCTTTTCAAAATCCTGATCATCAAGTCTCATAATTAATTAACATTCCACCAACATTAAACTCAGTTATTGATAAGATTATAAGTATTTAAGATTTAGCACAAAATATCAATATTTAAATAAAGCTTAAGAAGTAGGGTTTAATATCTATTTAATAGTTTATTTTATATTGGTATTTAATGAAGCTTTTTAAATCAATGATTACTTAAGATGCAACTGGAGAGAGACCTTTGCAAACGGAATAAGTAATGATGATTCAGAAGACTTATTAACTCAAAACTATGGAGTGGTGTATTTTTCAAATTCCTATTACATAAATTTCCTCTCTCCCTATATATATATATATATATATATATATATATACATATATATGTAAATCTTGTTCAAATTTTCAATCTTAATAAAATACTTTCTATCCATCCATTCAAGTTCAAATACATTTTTTTAGACTTATAGTGAATGCACTTGATGTTAATACAGTTTTTTCAAATATTATTCATTAATTAAATTAAAAAATGAATAAATAGTAACAAACAAAAATAATAGTCCAGCAGCATATATAGAAAGGAAACTCGTTCTCTGTGTCCCTGTAGAGCAATGGATAGCACGTTAGACTTCTTATTCAAAGGTCGTGGGTTTGAATCCCACCTGGGATGGCTTAATTTCTAAGACTCTGGTTTCTTTTTTACTATACTATTTTATTAGAATAGTTAAACTTGATTAATGAATAAATATAGTAACACAAACAAACAAAAATAGTCCAATCCAATGTATAGAAAGGAAAATGGAAAATCGCTTTCTATTTTGTCACTTAATATTGTGATTCTGTCATATGTATATACATATTTATATTAATTGTAACTATTTAATAAAAAGTAACAAAAATAAAAATTTTCATTGTTGACCTAAGTAGGAATTGACTTAATTTAGTTTTATATTACTTGTTTAAGGATTAGATAGGAGGCATTCACATAAATAAAAAGGCTTATTCGATGGGGAAGGGGCATATTGTTGGAATTTGCAATGATTTCTTTTTGTAGAGAGTATTGCACATAATGCATGTAAAAATTTTTTTTTCCATCTGAAAGCTATAAAATTTATTAAATATTTATTTTATAATCATATCTAAACGGTATAATGTTGGTTCATTTGAAAACGTAAAATATTAGCCTTAACTTTAACTGCTTCATCGTCCACCCTTTACAGGGTCAATGTTCCTCCTGTACCATTTCTTGGTGGTTTATTAAATGCTTATGAGATTCGCAAACGGAGAAAGAAAATCAATATCCGAATCTCTCTTATATTTCACAAGGACTGCCTTGTACACCCTCACACTCCCTTTGTTTCCGCTAGAGGCCATTTTTCTTCCAACATTTCTACTTAGTGCATAACCATTGCAATACAAGACAGATGGTTAAACCGTGTGATGTATCCTTTTTCAAAGAGCCTCCACGTTGCGCCCCCTGGTTATCTACTATGCAATTGAAATCGACTCAGTTATATACTGCTATGTGCCTATTCTACAAATTACTGGGGTGGGGCATGAATTTTTTGTCTCTCATTCTTTTTTTTTTCGTTCCTCCGACCGGCACGCTCTTTCATTATTATTATTTCAATTGTTTTTTCGCGACTACCAGATTGATAACTACGTGATTGTTTTAGTGGTTCTACTTTATCCCAATTACATTTGTACAGACACAGCTTTTTTTTTATATATTATTATTGCAACCCCCACAGTTTTCTTTTTACCCTCCCCCCTACATCTGCTACCACGTTGGTCTCAGGAATGAATTTTTTTTTCTGGACTGTCACAGTTATATCAGACTCGTAAAAAATGAATCTTTTTGTCATATTACAGACAAAATAGATTGCATAAAAGAAATGTGGTGTAAGTGTTCGAATCTACTGGCATGAAATAGACTGTGTGCATATATGCGATTATAATGATTGGGTTCCAATGATACTACAATTTATATATCACTAATCGCATTTCTACAACATATATTTATATATATATAACTGATTTCAATCTCTGTACATGTGAAGATCATACATATAAATAATTAATGAACAAATGGGAACATTGCAACAAATCCTCTATTAAAGTATCATATATTTTTTCTCACATTAATTAAGAAACTTAGCAAATTTTTAGTATTTAAAAGTATTGCTGATTTGTGCTATTGAATTGAATACCTTTGCTGTAATATAAAATACATCTTTTTAAAAATTCCATTTCATCTTAGAGAATAGGTAATGTTACAAAAATGAGTACTAATAAACTTCAGTGGGATCGTGCTACCCTTGTGGTTAGTCTTGGAATCGGGGCTGGCGTGTCCTGAGTTCGAACCTTGTGCCATTGAAGACCCCCCCCCCATGTAGAATAGCTGTTGCAAGTTAAATCAGTTGTGACTCAAAATCCTTCTGTTGGTGTAGTGTGATAGCTTCGAGGGTTCCATCCTATATGGGATCTCCGTCACATCTGGTCGAGGTACAAAGTTACAAGGTGTGTCGCCTTATTATGTTACGTAAGTAAACTCTAACGCAATAAACTTCTAAAACATTTCCGCTCTGCACACTATATGTTGAATAATAATTTTTGTATAAATAAATAAAAAGCTTAATAATAGTTTTCTAACAATTAAAAACTTGATATACGTTTTGAATTATTACATTGAACATATATAACTGATTCCTTAAGGGGTTCACCCATGTGACGGCCTGTTTTTTTAAGCTTTTTTAGCTAATTGTTTTTGACGGCCAGTAAAAAGATAGAACTTAAAGTATTTTTTTTATCATTTATTATTTGTATTTTAAGAGCATGTATATAAATGTTTAATCAAAAATATCCAATAGAACGTGAGTTATAGCGCTGTGAACACACCCGCCTCGAAAAAATGGAAGCTCACTTCCTCCACGATTCCTGTTGATTGGCTTATATCTGAAATAAAAAAAATTAACTTCGCCTTAATCCATAAGCTTAAATGTACCAAATAGACTAAACTCAATTGAAAACATCAAAAATTGGGTTTTTGGAAGACCTCTGAAGAAAAAGTTTCGAATTTCATGGGGTTATGTTTTTATCATAAAAAATAAAAATATTGTGAATTTTGGAATGATCGTAGTTCATTTGGTGCGCATGCATATGCTTAATCTATCCTATAAATTTGAAATCATTCGGTCAAACCGTTCTTGAGATACGATAGAGGAAAGTTTGAAAAACACAGTTTTGAGAAAAACGCGTTTCAAGTTTTAAGTCCGATTAAAACAATCAAAATCTTAACTTACCCTCAATCGGCGATGCCTGGTGGTGAAGACTAAAACAAGTTCAACGAAATATTCAATAATTATAGATATTTCCTTTTAAACCTCTACAAACTTGGTTGAACTTATATTTTCATAGAAGAGTCAATGGTATCAAGCCGACTGTATACAATAAGCCCGGCCTTCAATTGCTAACTCAGCTTTCCAAACAGCTGCTCTGCTAACACTTGCTTCTCTATAACGACTTCGAATATTAAAAAATCACTTCACCACCGTATTTTAGACATGTTAAAGAAGCAATTTATGGAATTTTTCATTCTTTTTTGATTTTTTGAACTTATTACGTGGGTGAACCCCCTCAAATGTCATTTCTTCTCACTATTCAGAAAAAATAGTAATAGCTTTGAAACCATAATAAATAATATTTATTGCACAGAAAATAAAAAGAAAATTTCATGATCATGTTTATGTCCAAACTTTTCGAATGAAAAACATTTCTCGCTGTTTCTATAAGAATTATACATTTTGAAAATTCAGGACTTAAATCACTTTTCTTAGAAACTTATTGAGGTTTCTAACGCACATAAATAGCCAGAAAAAACTTTTATGTGAAATATATATCTATATATAAATGGAAAAGTGAAAAAAAAGTCAGGGATGACCACAAAATAACTGGAGATTAAATTAATGTGTAAAAGATGAGGAAAAATGAGAAGTTATAACGTTGAAAGTTTGTGAAGTATAAATCAAAGACTCTACAACATTAGTCATGGCAACGTTTTTCGAAATTACAACTGCAATTTATTTCCGAATTCCCGTTACAATTGCAATTTTGCCCAATCGACTGAGTGATGTCACATTTTTGCTAGCTCCAATCCCCCCCTCAGAAACCCCCCTTTGAATTCAGTTCAGAGACCGAAAGTCGAAAATTTAGCTGTTTTGTTTCTGTTCCTTTGTCTTTATGTATTTCGTTGTAAAAATGACAATAAGAGAGGAAGAATTATATTAAAAATGGTTGCTGCGTTGCGTATACCAGGCGAAAATGGATTAGTGATAAATGATGATATGAGTGATTGCAATAAATTTTTATCGAAAGACTGATTGGCTTGTGGTTTGCCAACAAAGTTACTTCGATGTTTGTCTGATTTTGTATTTATCTCATGAAGAGATAAATACTATTATTTTTCAATTCAATTAGTTTATATCGAATGCACATGACACTGAAAGTTCTTATTTAAGAATAAAATAAATATTTATTACATGTTTTAGAAAAACTATCACGCATGTTAAATTCTCTAAATTAATGTCATAATGATAATCAGTGGCGAACACAGGAATTTTTCATGGGGGAGGGGAGGGTCGGAAATCCACCATTCTTGTATTATGTTCTAATACGCAGCTCAACATATTCTTTTGATTTTGCCAATTTTCCAGAGCAAAAAAACTGTAAAAAATTATTTATTAAATAAATAATTAGCATTGATTAATAAAATTAGTTATTAATAACAAATAATTAATTGAATTTTACGTATTATATACATAGGGCAATAATCTATCGAAAAAAATGAATAGCTTTGGGGGAGGGGGGGGCGGATCCGGAGACCCCCTTGTAATAACCTCCCGGAGATAAATATATACTGCACACGCGTACATTCAACTCATGTATGCGAAAATGATGCGATGACAGCCTTCCAGGCCTGTTATGTCAAAAATGTAGGTATTTTTTTTTTCACTTTCCTTCATGCATCATGAAAAAAAAATGGCTTAATTATCATTTTATGCGAATATGTCTTTCTTAAAATTGATCTAAGAAATAGATTCCATTGCTAACCATGAAAATAATTTTATTTTTAAAATTCTTAAGTTTGTCTGAGTAACCCAGCGTTTCTCAAACGGGGACAAAACGTTGGGAGGGGGGGGGGGCGTGATCATGTCGAAAATAAAAGATTTAAAATAAATATTAATTTACTGAAGAAAGTAAAACAAAACACGCGTGTTCGGTCATAATGAAAATTAAATACACAGTTACACTGATATAAAATACTTATAAACGTATCAGTACTACACAGTGTTTTTGATCATTAATTTATCTCAATACTAAATTAAAAAACAAGCTTAAATAATTATTAGTGTCTCCCCATGTGGGCTTGTCATATACAAAATTTAATACTTATCTTGATAATTTGTATGGTTTATAATTATATATAAAGTCGTACTCTACTTTTAGCGTCGAAGTACTTTATTATTGCATTCAATATACGTTGTTGTTGTATGGGGAGGGGGGGGGACGTGATGAAAATTATGTTTTAAAATTGGGTCAAAAATATTTAAAGTTTGAGAAGTACTGGAGTAGACTATCATTTTCGAAAAATTCATTAAATGAAGGGGTATT